GTTTAAATGTCTGATCTGAGTGTTGTTTCCCATATAGTCTTAAAGTTAAAGCAACACTTATTCAAATTTAAGTCCAGACATCACTACAAAGAGCAAACATACACAGTTAAGGAACAAAATGTCGAACCCTGCTGAAGAACCCGACAACTTAGAACAGCAAGAGGTGAGATCCAGCAATCGTGAAAGACACCTAACTGAAAAGGGCAAGGAAATGCATGAACAGGATGCAAAGAAACACGAACGAGCATTTAACAGAGCTTATGATTCTTGGAAGGAGACGGCTAAAGAAATTAGAACAAAACTGAAGGCCTTCTGCTCACCTGGAGATTTAAACAGTGCTAGTCATGACATAAGGGACAAGCATGCAGCTGTACAACAACATTATGAACCCATTCGCCGCAACCAAAACATGACTCCAAACGTAGTAAAAAGAATGGATGCCTGTACTGTGCTTACAACAGACATTTGTGAGATTATTGCTAAACGACAGGAAAATATTGATCAGCCCTTCAATGATCATCTTGAAAAGGAAAGAGTAAGGCTGATGCTAAACAAAAATGATTATGGCTCTGTGTTTGGAGATACAAAAACTGAAACATCGTTCCCAGAAAGTTCAGTTGAACACTCGAAGACAGATTCTTCAAGCAGTCGTGAAGCAGAAGCTGAATTTGCAGCTAAAATGGAACAAGCAAAGGCTACACATGAAATACTTGCACAGCAAACTAAAGTCAACCAAATGGAGAATGAATGGAAGTTAAAGGAAAATGAAGCACTGGCAAAGTTAAAACAAGAAGAAGTAGAAACGAAGGCAAGGCTTGAGCAGGAAAAAATTAAACTGCAGCATTTAAAGGCAGAAAGTGAAGTAAGAGTGGCAGCAGCACGTGTAAGAGCTTTAAGCACTGTAAATGATGTTGAAAGCTGTGATCTAGCATCCTGCAACAACTTTGAGAACGCTCTAAATGACTCTGTCAGTGTACCACAGCCCTCCTTAAATCCGCTGGCTCCGTCGTTTAAGCATCACTACACCGGCGCAGAACGAGGAGAACTTAGTTTAGCTGAAGCTCTAGCAAACTCCCTTACCTTAAACCGACTTCCAGTACCTGAGCCAGCTATCTTTAGTGGTGACCCTCTAAAGTTTGTTGACTGGAAAGTATCCTTTATGACACTAATTGGCAACAAACCCTTACCTGCATGTGAGAAAATATTGTATCTAAAGAGTTATATTACAGGTGAAGCTCGAAAGGCAGTAGAGGGATATTTTTATCGTAACACTGAAGAGGCATACCAGAGCATCTGGAACGTTCTGCAAGAAAGGTATGGCAGCCCATTCATTGTGCAAAGAGCATTTAGAAACAAGCTTACAAAATGGCCCAAAATAGCTGCTAACGATCCTTTAGCACTGAGAGAGTTTGCAGACTTTCTTCAGAGCTGTGCAGAGGCTATTCCACAAGTCAAGGGTCTAGAAATCCTTAATGATTGTGAGGAAAATCACAAACTTCTCAAAAAACTGCCGGACTGGATTATACAGAGATGGAGTCGTATTGTTGTGGAAGAGTTAGACAAACATCAGGAGTACCCCAGCTTTGCTCACTTCACACAGTTCTTACAAAAGGAAGCGAAAGTTGCTTGTCACCCTGTCGCCTCACCATTCCTAATAAATGAAAAAACAGAGGAGAGACACATTAAAAGAGCTAAAGCACTCACTACAACTGTCCAGCCAAAGTCTCCCTTACCCACAGTGGTTAGTAATAAACCTAAGCCACCTTGTTTGTTTTGCAAGGACGAACTGCATGGTGTAGCCAAGTGTCCTTCATTTGCAACAAAAACCATTGATGAAAAGAAAGTTTTCATTCGTGAAAATCACCTCTGCTTTGGATGTCTGAGAAAAGGCCATGTAACTAAAGAATGCAAAGTACGTCACTCCTGCACTAAGTGCGGCCGACGTCACCCTACTTGTCTCCACACAGAAGGAGTAAAGGAACCCAAAGAAACGAAAACTGCTGAAAATGGAAACAAGGAAGTACATAAAGTTATGACCCATGTACTTACAAGAAAAACATCTGCAACATCCAGTATAGTACCAGTTTTTGTGTCAGCTGCATCAGAGCCACAGAAAGAAATACTCACATATGCCCTGCTTGACACACAAAGTGACTCTTCCTTCATTTTAGGAGACCTAGCCTCTGAGCTGAATGTGGATAAGCAACCAGTACAGTTAAAGCTCAGCACAATGACTTCTGTTGACACAGTTGTGGCAAGTAGACTTGCTAGCAACTTACAGGTGCGTAGCTTTGACTCTGATGCTCATGTCAAAATAAAACAAGCCTACTCTCGTGACTTTATCCCAGTTGACAAGTCTCATATTCCCACTAGAGAAACTGCACTTCAGTGGCCACACCTTAAAGGCTTAGCCAACCAGTTACAACCACTTCAAGATTGTGAAGTGGGCTTGTTAATCGGTTACGACTGTCCATCAGCTCTAGCTCCCCTAGAAATTGTCACAGGACAATTAAACGAGCCTTTTGCACAAAGAACCATACTCGGTTGGAGTATCATTGGGTCTGCTAATCCCCACTTAGACAGAGAAGGAAATCAGAGTTATGTGCACCGTGTCAATGTCAAACAAATCCCCACACCCTCAGCTGCTGATGTGCTTAAAGTCTTAGAGTCAGACTTCAATGAGAGAAACTATGAGGATAAATACGTATCCCAGGACGATGTTCGTTTCTTACAACTACTCAGTGACACAATAAAGCAGAGAAAAGATGGACATTATCAGATGCCCCTTCCCTTCAAAGGCAGCAAGCCACCAGCCCTTCCCAACAATAAGAGGTTAGCCACAGTTCGACTGCAACACCTAAAGAAAAGGCTAAAAGCTGACAAACAGTATCACGAGCATTACAACGCCTTTATGAAAGACATTATCAGCAGTGGTGACGCAGAACTGGCC